TCCCGTTCTAAACGTTAAAATAAAAATTGCTAAAAACAAAAGAAAAATTAGGAATCTCGTTTATATCTCTTAGAATATTTTTATAGTAAATTTGAAATTAATATTAATAGATGCTAAGGAAGTAAACACTTGTTTTAAATTGAGTTTTTTTAAAAAAAATCGCTAAAAATGAGAAAAATAATATTCCTATTCCTAAATGTTGTTCCCATATTTCCTCCATTTTTGGCGATTTTTTTTAAAAAACTCAATTTAAATACAAGTGTTTACTTCCTAGCATCTATTAATATTATTTTCAATATTACTTAAAAATTTTCTTAGGAGATATAAACGAGATTAAAAATTTTAGGGATTTAGAAGCTAATCCTTATGGATACTTTATATTATGCTGGAAATACATATCCGATCAAATCAGATTTTTCAAATTTAAAAATCGCCTTCATAATTACCGAATTGGGAGATTCTGAATATTCTCGGATTTTTTAGAATAGATCAACACATTTTTCATTTGTTCAATAATAAATATTATTTTTTATTTAGGATGAGTAATCATTTTTGGGGTGCTGAGTGAGTAGTAATCACGATGATCTACTTTTCGCCAGAATATGGAAGTATTTAATCGTTTAATGATTGTCAAAAAGAAAATATAATTATTGAAATTTTTTTATAAGCCATTTAAATGATTTTATTTTTTTTTATTCCCCGTGGATCAAAATTTGAAGCATCATTGATTCAAGAAATCAAATTAATTAGGATTCAAATTTTTTTTTATAAGTAATCAAAATCTTATCTAATATTGTCCATCCCAGGAAAAAACAACCAATCATATTTTTAGTAGCCAAATTATATTTATAATCGAATTCTCTTCATTTTAGCGTTTGTCCTCCTCAGGGAAAGGAAGAAAGAGAGAAAACGAATTTGTAGACCCCGGATTAAAGCACGGCCCATGTGTCAAGGGCTAGGACGTGTATTGATTATTTGATGAAATCCTGTTAAAAATAAATCACATTGTCGTCCCTTGAACATTCATTCGCTTCTCATTATTTTTCCTTCAAATCATTTTCAAAATAATATGTAGCCATAAAAATAAAAATAGTCCCAATTTTAAAATATCCGATCAGCTCGGCTATAAATAAAATTCTGACAGGGTCGGGTCTCCGATAAAAAAAGCCAGGACTTACCCTGCATTCACAGTTAGCGCGAACTCGCGATTAAGTTACAAAAATTAATTTAAAATTATTATATTCATATCATATTTTTGTATACCTCCCCGCGAATTCGCAATAACTGTGCCTGCAATGTCTAGCGCAAGTATATTCAATAATGATATTCGATTCTTTAGAACGAATTGAATCCTTTAATATTCGTAATTATGCAACCTAATTCATGTGTATTTTACTAACGTATTCGATTCGTTCAAAAAAATTACTCGTTTTTAAATAGGCCTAGTCTAACTCCTCATTCATAGTTAGTGCGAATTCGTGGCGAATTATACAAAATACATTATATTTTTGTTTTCTTCTCCGCAAATTCGCGTTAGTTTTAAAAAAAACGAATATTTATCCACTATTTCTTTAAATGATAAAGAAAACCCGTAAATTTTATCCTTTTTCTTTTCTTTTTTTTTAAAAAAACAAACAACTTTTCAAGAATAAAGGTTAAAATAACATATATTTATTTTTATATTTTAAAAATTCCGATTAATTACTATCAATTAGCGTAGTCTTTCTCCTTAAATATAAAAAATGATTATTATAAAAATAACGAGTCAAATTTTGGCAGACAAAATATATTGTAAACCGATTTTTAAAGGCAAATTAGTAAGCATATTATATTTATTTTTTCCCTTTCTAACAATTAATCTACCTCAAAAATTACCTTTATTTTAAATCAAGGTTCCTCTCTACTACCGATTCAATTTGAAAAAAAATTTACATCATAGATTAGAAGGGTAAGCAATCGAAGCCTATATTTTTTTTGTGATTTTTGAAGATATTGCAGAAATAAGCATAATTTCGATAGATTTAAAATAATATATAATAATGATTTTTAAAAATATATAATTATTGCCAGTGTTCGTTATACTATTTATTATTATCTTTTCTAATATATATATAATATATATTTTTCTCTGCACACACTCTAATGCACTAACTAATTTACGATTTTAAATCGTGTATGAATATACACTCTAATTGGATCATAAATAATAACCCACGCATCTTATTTCGTAGAAAAATTAATGAAATGGAAATAATAATTAGCGCATTAAAAGGGGGAAAAGGATTATAATCCCCCCTTTTTTTAAAAAATTTATTTTTTGTATTTAATATTTTTTAAATTGTTATTATATAATAGTAGATATGTCGTATTGGGATCCATGACGTATATATATATATACTACTAGTGAAAATGTTCATATATAGGAATCAGCTGTAGCGCCATTTTATGGTTTGCACGCCGACTAATTATTATTATTTATCATTATATAAATGCACAATAAAATAATTAGCCGAGAATTCGCACTAACTATGAATGTAGGGTTACCTTGAATTCATTGGCGCGAATTCGCGGCAAATTTTACAAAATATGCCGTATTTTTGTATTCTTCTTCACGAATTTGCGCTAACTGGGAATAGGGGTAAATTGAATTTTACGAATCGCCCTCATTAATTGATTCAAAATCGAGAGATTCCGAATCCCCATGGAATCCATATCCCAATAATACTACAGTGTTGTTAAACGGCTCGATTTTTAGAAATGACAAACCCAATATTTTGGCCAAAAATATTAGCAAACTTGAAGATTTTTGCTCATGGATGGAAGAAAGGTTCTGAACGAAATCTCTAGGCTTGCGTAATATTATTTTAGCTAAAATCGGTTAAATCAAATTGTTTAGCTAACACGACAGATATATAAAAAACCATATATTTTGTGATTTACTATACCCTCAATCATAATTAGAGCAAATTCGTGGCACCACAAATTATCGCTAACCATGTGAGGGGTAAAAGGTGTTTTTACTTGTCTGATTTTATGGAAAATTATTGTACTGTAAATTTAAATATCAACCCGGGTTCCTAATCGAGCCACAAAATCATAATGAACAAAAAGCTATTAATGGAATCTTTAAAAAAAGAAGGGCAAACAACTGACACAATGGTTTTCAAAATATTCAATCTGGTAATCAAAAATTGCCTCAAAAACTTTCAAGAAGCACCTCAATCGATATATTATTATAAATTAAATTTATATTAAATAAAAAGTTCTTCGATTTCTCTCACTTTATTAGGTTGCCTATTTTCTAATAGCACCTGACATGGACGTAGCTAAATGGGATCGGTAACCCCCCCCCCTTCGGAAAATTTACAAAATATTATTTTTAAGGCGAACCCTAAAGCCCTCCAATTACGGAAGTGTAAGCTACCCCAAGACCTCTCCTTATGAAAATTATAGCTATGCTTATGACATTCGTAATTAAAATGGCGAACTGCTGACTTCACTTAGCCCCATTTAGATTTCATAACATTAAGATTTGTCAATGGTTCGACCCCCTACTAACGGTCTGCAATGGGAGAGTTTTTAATCTACAAGCCCGCCCATGGTTCCTGAATTTCAGCCATTCCATTGTTTTCGATTTTAAAGTCTGCCCACGCATAGTTTTGATAAAATATTATCAGTCAGCCTGATTTTTAAATTCTGCTCGCCCGACTGCCACCCATAAAAATAAGAATTCGTCCGCAAAATTTATTTTTGCCCAACAAGTTATTAAGTATTACAATTAAAAAAATTTTTTTTGATAAATAATAAAAAATAAATATGCAAATTCTTATAAAATGAAGGATATAAATAAATGATGAATTTAAAATGTATTCCATCAAATCAAAAATAGTCATAAAATATTTATTACAAATTATAAGGTTTTCAATAATTTATAATTCGTTTGCTTTTCTAAACATATTTTATTTGTTCATTTTTAAAATAATTTGTTAAATAGATATTTTTTTTAAAAAAATCCTAACGACTAACGTGAGTTTAAAAAAGTGAATAAAAATAAAATTTTGTTATTTATGAGATGAAATTTTTTTTAGGCAATACATGATAATAAGCGCCATAGCGGAGATATAAAAATATTATCGTTAAAGAAGAAAAATATTAAAATAAATACAAAGTACACGTGAACATGCGGCGATAAAGAAATTATGCACGTTGAGCAGACTTTAATTATTACATTTTCAGAAAGAAACACAATTTTTTTTTAAAATTTGATAATAATGATTCCTATTTATTTTAAAAAGATGTTAGAGGAATAAAACAAAAGAAAATTTTTTCACCCACCCGCCCATTTAAAAAATTTTTTACCCGCCTGACTGTTAACGAAAACGCTTTATTATAGTAATACCTCATTCATAGTTAGCGCGACACGGCCAATTATATAAAATACGCTTTATTTTTGTATTCTCCAACGCGAATTCGCACTAACTTGAATGAGGGTTAATACTCTTCTCACTCAGCCTTACCGTTTTAAAACCTTACGCGCATAAACTAAATTGAGGAAACTTGTTTGATTTTTTTTCACTATCGAACTTATAAAGAACCCTTAATTAAATATTACTTAATGAAATTCATTTTTAGAAGTTTAAATTTGAAACGGATAAACACCCATCGGAATCGTCCTAATTTTTCTGTGTATTATAATGACGGATGCAAAATTATTTATTTAATCATAATGCTAATATTGGGTTGGAATTTGGATCACAGATTTTTTTTAATTTGTGTAAACCTTATTTTATTTTTTTTAACATAGTAAAATTAAATTAATTTTATAATAATAAAATAAGTGATATCGTTTTATTAGCCGGTGTCAACTAAATTAGTTCGGTGTCTATATAGATTTGTATCAATGCACCTTTAATTGAAACAATGCTGCCCTTTTGGATCAAAATGAATTTTTCGCAAAAAATATTAATTTATTTATAATATATTATTATTTTTTGGATCAGGCTAAATTCGAGAAATTATTTGAAGAAGGTTCTCACGTAAAGAACGTGATATATTTGCCCAGCTTCAAGAGGGTCCGAGTTGACTTCGATTCCCCCAAATCCGCCACATATTTCCGTATCGTTTTGAACGAAATTCGATTTGAAGAGAATATTATGAAAGCCTTTTTCATTCAAGTTTTAAAAAATATATTTTATTACTAAAATTATATTACAGGGTAAAACCTTGTTAAAGTGATCCCACAATTATTTACCACAAATGATATGATAATAAAATACTACATTAGAGATATAGTCATATTGAAATAAATAAAAAATTAATATAATAATCTTTACTTTTGCATAGGCTGGCAACAATACTAATATTTTCATGGTTTTCAATACCAATCCAATATAAAATCAGATATTTTATTTATTTTTTTAACTGACACCATTCGTTGCCAATAGGGCTGTGCATTTGACCGGTCAAATTCAAATTAATGTCATTTATGACAATATTAACTTTATTTAATAAATAATAGTAAAATGTATCTATAATATTTATTTTTTAAATTCATTGTCTTTCAATGACTAATGTTTCACTCTCCGTAGCAAAGTCTGATTCATATTCAATATTATCATTTTATTTCATTTTTTTTAATCAATTTTCCTATTGTCGAGACCTTCAATCGATTTCTGATTTAGTAAGAATATAACCCAAATCAACCAATTTCCTTCTTAAGAAGAAGTTGAACTAGGAGTTGTTAGTAAAATGTCACTTCTTGTAATTGGCATGGTGAACAATGCCTATTCCACCAACTTGAGGCCTGAATCTGATAGTTTCTTATGGAAATCATTGCTTTCCACATAATTTGGTATTAAACTTGCCGCTTTTCTGAAATTTATGATATCACTTGAAATATTTTGATCACCACCTTGCAAAAGGCCTAATTCTTGCACTACATCACATATTTCATTAAATTCACTACTCGTATATACTCCCCTTGATATTGGAGATCCAATAAATAAGCAGCATTGTGATCACATTTTTTATCTCGTTTTTGCTTTTTTCAAACATATTTTTAATTTTTTCTTATTCAGATTTTTTGGAATATTTGACCGAATTGATCGACTTGCCAACCCTGATTGCCTATTAAAATTAGTAATCATTTATTGGTTTAAAGGCAATACCAATATCATTCTAAAAATTGATTAAAATATATATTTTTTAGATTTATTTACACAATTGTTAGCTTTATTTCGGTGGGTAACGCTAAAAATATACCTTATATGCCTTATTTATTAAAGTTTTATGTTTTTGTTTTGAATTTTCGGCAAAATATGTTAGTGAAATTTTAGAAATATTAAATTATAAAAGTTTAACTTCTGTGATATCAATATTGATATAATATTTACATATCTTGTAGGGCATTAAGTTGTTCAGGGAATCAACTTATCCACTAAATTTATACTTTTAGATAGGGACTTCTACATACCCCCCCCCCAGCCAATGACGATTATACTCACCTTCTATCAAATTAAAATTAGCAAAATAAGAAATGATTGGCAAAAAATCAAAATAAAAAACCATCACCTTAATCTTCTCCAATTTTATTTAAATTAGGATAGCGTCGTCATAACTACCTACCCTTCTCCAATTGAAGTGACAATCTTGCGTCATATCCCCTACCTTTCTGGTAGTAAAAGTTCTTGCTTTTAGAACCTAAATACAAAGCTAAAAATCTCGATTGAAATTTGTATAAACATCATATTGATTTTTTTTTTTAAAAATGGTATTTAACAATTCTCATTTTACCATCATCATAATTAAATTTGTTCTCCTTATTATTTATAAATGTTATAGTGAATCTAACTTGGCACACTAATCTTTTACATTTTGGTGTAAAATATGGTATCAATTTTACAAAATTAACTTTTTTTTTCATTTTTTTCGCACTAATCTTTGTTTCTTCTTTCAATATGTATATTTTATTCGGAGTTTTTTTATTAATACTTACGTATTATTATGATAAATTATTAGATTTTCCTTTCTCTTAAGTCTCGCGTTATAAATATTTATAGGCAATAAAAATGCAGGATTATTTTAAAATTTATTTTTTATGTAGTAGTTGTTCTTAAGCCTTGTTTTTTTTAGATATTGTAAAAAAATAATAAAAATAATAGATTAAGTTATTAAAACGAATACCAGTTATATGATAGCTGATTTCTTTAAAAATTTATTGTATATTATATTTATACATATATATATATATAATTTAATCTGATACGTATTGGAATTCGTTATCAAAATAAAATATTATTGCACTTTTCTCTTATCTCAAAATAAGATAGAATAAAATCTTGAGTGTATAATATGTATTGGATAGATATTTTGCTATATTAAAGTATCTCTAAATCCTTAATTCTAAAAAATTTTATTTCATAGCCGGATATATTTTAAATATACCTTCTAGTGGTCCTAGAAGTGCATATTTTTTATATTCATTGCTTGACTAAAATCTTCTTTTTAAATCCAGGATCCATTACAAATATCGACCGAAACTCATCTGAAAATTCCTCCTCCTTTTCGAAATTTTCTCATTTCTCCACCCTGTTCACCCCCCGAAGGTTGGGAACAAGCACCCGAAGCTCGACCGGTTCTCAACTACGATCTCATATCTGCTCTGGCTCAATTAACACCAGGTTTTATATATTAAATATTTTATACAATATCGACCTATTTTTTATTTTATTTAAAAAGATGAATTACTTTATGAGAAGAAAAGTTAGTTAAATGGACAACCCAAAATGAAATGACTTCCTTAATCAGACTATTCAGCCTTATATTATAATTGTATATATTTAAGTCTTTGGGCCTTGTCAACCCTTGGATTATTTTTAAAACTTATTTCTGTTCAGCCTAGGCTATTGAGCTATGACACCCTCCCTATTCTCGTTTGTTTAAAGTTTGTATTTAAATAAATATTAACTGTTATTTATTTTTTTAGGTAAGATCTATCTAGGTTCAATAAAATCTAATCACCTCTTTCTTTTTAAAGGAAGTTATATAGACGGCTAAGCCGATGGCTGTTTAGAAATAATCTGATTGTTGACACGGCCTTCACCTGTTTTATAAATCATACTTAAAACTAAAAATAATATTTTAATCAATTATGAAATTTAATTGTATTAATATAAAATAAATTATAATTGATTAACTATTTTTCAATTCTCTTAAGCCAAACCGAACCTGAGAATGTTTATTTTTAAAAATTTGCATATTCACATATGCCCGAATTTTGAGTTCAACTTAAATCATATTATTATCATCATTTTATTCCAACGTTAGATGACTTTCTAGTAAAGATTCGTAGGGGGGGGCAGAATCGAATAGTAGATTTAAAGATGCTTATCTACAAATGTCCTAGGAGCCAGATTCCCAAGAAAAGTGTTCTTTCGATCTCTTATTCAGCCATTTATAAATGTCTTTGTTTCATGGCAGAAATGTATTGGGCAATGATATTGACGAGCACCTCTCAAATCTTAAATAGTTCTCGATAAATTAGAAAGACAGGTCTCAAAGCGAAATTCGAGTAGAATTGTTAAATAATTTTTTTAGGGTTAATTATTGACCAGTATGGGGTACATCCTAACCCATATAAAATAAAAGCAATCCAAGATGCGCCAAAGCCAAATAATTTTTACCGACTATAATACTTCTTAGAAATGGTTATACCATGAGCTGTTTATACAACATTTGCATAAATACATAGTGTCACTACACCGCTTGGTCAATATTAAGATATTGGCGTTGAACTAAGGAGGAAAAGGTGGCATTTGCAAAAATCAAAACACTATTGTCATCTGTAGGAAAGCTTAACGCCATATAGCACTCATCTACCATTAAGCTTGGAGTGTGATGCACCTGATGCTGCACTCGGTGTGGTGTTTCAATTCGCGGATAATCTGGTCTATCGCATTTGCATCCAGTACTGGAATCCAAAAAACAATATGCACCAATAGATAAAGAAGCTCCTTCTTGGGAAAAAATATTATTTATTTATTTTTTGTTTAAGATTTATATTGTGAACTGACCATAAACCACTCGAAAGATTGTTTGACGAAAAAGGTTACCCACAATATTCAGTAATCGTCTTACACGCTGCCTGGAAGATGGCTGTATACGGTTTTAGCGCTTAGAATATAGACCTAGCTGAAAGAACTGTATTGCCGACGCTTTATCAAGTTACCATTGCATTATGTTGAACTTTAAGCCTTTGAATAAGCAGCAAAGTGTCAACAAATAAAATTTATTTCGGTTTATAGTGATATTTTATAAGCATTGAATTGGCAGGCAATAAGATAATATGACAATATTTTCATATATTTCCCATAAACTGATTAACAAAAATAATTATGATAATTATCCATGACTATTAAAATCCTTTCACATTATCACATATATACGTAAATGCCAATACTAGTTTGAAAAAAATTACACTAAACCCTTTTTATTTTCAGTGCTGAAAATCGTACACATATATAATTTTTTCGCAAAAGAGTAAAATTGTTTGTTAATAATACTACCTTACATCTCATGCACTCTGAATATATTTATATTATATGCTTGTGTTGATAGAACTTTTGCAAATTGTTTATATTAAATTTGTTAATTATACCGTATAAAAATATAAAGTATATTTAATACATTTTTATTGGTCCTATCCTAACCGAGATAAAGGCTCGATGGCAAAAATGGAGCCACTGTCTTGATAAAGGCTGGACTGGTCTTCGATATTTATAGGATGTAACCCGTTTTTTAATTATACGTTAAGGCGAATCCCATGAATTACATCCGGAGACTCATAAAACCCCTAAAATCATAGTTCACATAGCGAAAGATGAAAATGATGAAGATGACGAAGAAGAAAGTTCAGAAGGTAAAATCTTAATTATTTATTTTCTCTTTTACATATAATTAAAATTTGTTCACAAACAGTGCAGTATAATATTGTAATTTATTAAAATCTCCCTTTGCTTGTGGTAATTATGTAATGGTCGGCATAGCTAGAAGAGTTTTAATATAGATACTGTAATACATTTGATGTGTGAAATCATGCTCTGCGTGAATGTCAATATTATTTATTGATATGATGAATTTCGATTTAATATTCTAATAAATCGCTAAAAACTATTTAAAAAGATCACAAAATTAGAGGTTAAATTTTTTAGCTGAGTTTCAAAAATAGAAATATAATTGTATTTAAAGGTATTTGCCTTTTTTTGACGGAGAAATAATTTCTCTGTTCATTAGTGTAAGAGCTTTAATATTTTAGCTTAATAATTTGCAATTGTGCTGTCGATCCTTATTGTAAACATAGCAACTCACAATTGTGCGTTTTATAGGGGATTGACGAAGTTACAACTGGGAAGGGTCTCCAACCATTCATGTCAATATCTAATCTAATAGGCGGGAAGGGGGGGGGGGTGTAGATAATGTATTTGCATATAAGTTTTTTATTATGAATTGGGATTTTTTTTATAACGAATGCTTGTTGGGAATGGACTATTTGATACTCTTTTTTTCATGAATTTATTGTACAATTACAATGTATAAATTCTCAGCATCTAATTTATGGAAGAATAATTTTGCTATATATGATCGAAATTTGCTACCGATTTCATAATATTTCTTTTTCATTAATTTTTTATTTAAATAAACAAAAAGATCCAGATTCTTCTATAGCACAAGATAATGAGATTCCCAAAAAATCAAAAAAGAAAAAGGATAAAAAATTTAGCATAAAAGCCTTACCTAGTACAGCTATCCATACCCCACGGCCTCCTTTAAAAACTCAATAATATACGATCATGGCACTAATTTATTTTTGCAAATAAAAATATTAAGAAAATCTTAAAATTTAACTTCTTAATTAGTTAATAAAGATATTCATGAATTATTTTAATTTTAAATTTGACTCAGTAGGAAGTATATTCATTACTTTTCAAGATACAATGATTAAAAGCATTCGAATTTTAGAACTGAATGCAAACTATTTGTGCAATATCATTAAACTCATTTTATACTCCTAATAATAATATATTTATTTCATAAATTATAATTTTTTATAAAATAATTATTGTTTTATTTGTTATTGCAATAATTATCCTTCATAAACATTTTATAATATGAGTAAAGCTGTAATATTGTAGATAATCTCATTATTTTTGTATTAATCATTTTTTATTTTATGGGGATTTTTATGTAAAATTTAATGATTGTAACATAATGTAAGTTCATTTGAAACATAAATAAAATGAATACTAACTCAGTGTAAATATCACATTATAAGAATTTTAATCAATATTTAAACGTCTATTAATAGTATAAATAATATAGTTAAAAAATAAAATAGCACTTTTTTAAACAATTCTCGCAAAAACGCAATTTAATGAACAAAAGAACCATATAAAATTTAATCTGAATGGTTATATTGTTTAAATAAGATTTTCATTTCTGTTTTAAAGATAATTCATATTGATCATTAACAAATTTCCAATTAATTTTGTTCCATATTGCCTTAACATAATCAGGCCTTACATTTTTGTATTGTAAATAATAAGCATGTTCCCATACATCAATTCCTAAAAGTGGTTTCAGGCCTAAAAATATTAAATAATAAAATATTATTTGTGAACAAAGTTAATTTATAAATTAGCATTAATGTGTGTTTATGAATTTTTATATAAATATATTTTATTCTCACTATATTACTTTTGATTCTATTTATAATTTTGGTTTAAATTAAGATATTTCTGAAAAATTTTTACCTAATGTGGCTTGAAGTGGATCCTGATTACGACAAGTAGCAATTTGTAAATGATGATTTATAGGATTAAAACCTAACCATGCCCAACCTGATCCCATAATTCCTACTGCAGCAGTGCTCATATGCTGTTTTAAATTATCAAATGTTCCAAAATCATGCTTAATGGCTTCTAGTAATTTTCCTAAAAGATTTTTAAGTTGATTAAAATATTTTGATATACCTTTAGGTTCTCCGCCATCATTTGGAGATAAATTTTTCCAAAATATTGAATGATTTATATGTCCACCACCATTAAACTTTATAACAGGTGTTAAGGCTATCATAGCTGATAAATCCTCTAATTACATCATATAAAATATAGCTTAATTTATTATTAATTGCACTTTTTGATTTTGCATCTTCATATTTTTCTTCAGCAATATTCAAATTATTAACATATGCAGCATGATGTTTTTCATAATGTAGCTTCATTATTTCTGATGAAATAGTTGGCTCCAAGGCATTAAAGTCATAAGGTAAATTAGGAAGTGTGTGCTTATATCTATTAAAGCCTTTATTTCTAGTTAATAAAATAATTATTATGAAATATCAATCTGCTTTACAAGTTATTGAGCAAAATTCTCATTATTATTATTCACACAGATGATTTTTCTCGCCTTTTTAGATCCTCTAAAAATGTAAAAAGTTCTAAATTAGCTTAAGTTGTATTTTAGAAAGTAAATTTAAAAAAATGAATATACCTTTCGTTTATATGCAATGACTACAAAATTATTTCATATACAGTCTTGTTTTTAATTGCTTAATAATTTTGATCAAATAATTGCGCATGAAAATCTTTGGGCAAAAGCAAAATTTTCGGCAAAAATCTTTGAAGATCAGCAAAATTGAAATTTTTAATATTTATGATTTTATCATGCATAAAAATCACAAACCAATTGGAATTTTGGGTAAAATTTGTTCAAAAATTCTTTTTTGAGAGCATAAAATTGATGCTTTTTGAAAGATCAAAATTTTTATTGGGGAGAGAAGAGTGGATGTTAAAAAGGGTAACACCACATGGTAAAGGTATATGGAGACCAAAAAGTTTTTTAGGAGAAACTTCAAGTCTGGATGCCTCTAGGAGATGTAGGTTTCCTTTAAATTAATGAAGGAGACATATAGTAATTAGGAATTTATTTTATGTTTTATAATGATTATATATATATATATCTAAGATTAATATAATAAATTGTAAGGTTGACTACCTAACATATAAAATTAGCATCAATTATATAATGTAATTTCCGCATAACCAAATTATTAATGTACGTGTTTAAATCAGAGTTGTACAAAAGTTCTTCTTTGAAGATTTTTGAGCGAGATCTAGCTCAAAAATTTGAGCAAGATCTTTGAAGATCATAAAATTTGAAGATCTTTTATTTTTTAAAAATTTTGTGTAACGATCTTCAAAGATCTTCATGATATTTATTTTTTTACCCCTTTATTAAAAGCCCAGATGTTTTTCAATTTTCATCAAGGCAGGAGGAGAGGTATAAAACATAAAAGAAATTTTATATTAATAAAATTGAAAAACATCTGGGCTTTTAATAAAGGGGTAAAAAAATAAATATCATGAAGATCTTTGAAAATCGTTACACAAAATTTTTAAAAAATAAATGATCTTCAAATTTTACTAGATCTTTGAAGATCTTTTTATTCAAATGTACAACTCTGGTTCAAATAAATGATATGTGTATGAAATTCCAATTTATTAAAGCTCTCATCTCTTCTTTCCTTTTAAAATTTTATTAAAAAGGGCCGAATAATGGAGAGAAAGTCTCGGTCCCAGAGATGGCTATTAATTTTAATTGATACCCAAATATGATAGCCAATCTTATTTTTTTAGTCTATATTGAGCCAAAATGGATAAAAAATTTCTAAACTGATAGGAAAAAGTGGTTGAACCAGCGTCTACATAACAGGATTTTCACTGGATGCAAACCCCCTTCAAAAACCTTTGCCTACCCCCTTAAAAAATTCACGACACCTTCGGCGGCGGTGTCTCTTTATTATTATTTTCACCTTTATAATTATATTAATACTCTTTTCAGAGAATCTATAAGGATAACTTAAATTAATCTATCTCTACTACCAACTATCGATATTTTGTGAATATAAAGAATTTATTTTTTAGATAATAAATTCAATTAAAACCTCTATTATTTACAATGAATTAATTATTATGGCATTATGAGCTTGCTGATATGTCTAAACCTTTTAAATTAAAAAGAATAGCAGAAAATTTTATTTGGAAAACAATGTGTATAATTGTTTGCAATATATAGATTTGGTCGATAATTGTATTATAATATTTCTATAATAAAAGTATTAATTTTTACAGCAATAAATTTTGTCCTATTTCATCTCAAAATTTAATATATAACCCCCCAAAAAATTTATCCTACCCCCATTAAAGCAGCCTACCCCCTCAAAAAAATATTATGCAAACTGTTCCTACCCCTCCCGCTCATGTAGACGCTGGGTTGAACACATCATTGATTCAAGTTTTTGTATCGGATAAGTATTGATAATCTCTGTAGAGTTCTCAACTGGAACTTTAAAATGAAAAGGATATGTTTTTTAATCCTGGTAATTTCTCTCTATATTTCTTCATATACAAAAAAATTTAATAATAAAAAGTCACAAAAGAAAAAATTATTCTTTGTCTTTTCAACATATGATGAAAAGTGAACTAATAATGCCGGGATCCGACCCGATAATCGGTTCGGGTTAGGTTTAATAAAAATAACGGTTCGAGGTTATGTTTTAAAACTCGGTTTGAACATTTGTTTATAATTATTTCTTAAGATTTGTAAATTTTATTGAGTTCTAGAGGGCGGCTTCTTTAATGTGACGGTCAAAATTTGCTCTTGATCCCCCTTCATAGTTGTGTCACAATCCCTAATATTACATTTTGATATGTCATTTATAATACTATATGTAAATCATTTATATCTTTTATCTCTAAGCATTAAAAGCATAAAAAATATTTAAAATGTAAAATGGCAATATACTAATGTTTATAAAAATTGTCAAATTTTTTTTTTTAATTTATCTAGATTTAAAAACGATTACTAGTGTTGTTAAACGGCTCGTTTTGAGCCGATTTTTTAAAACGACTAACTCAATATTTTAGCCAGAAAAATATTGCCCAAGCCTCAAGATTTCGTTATACATGTCTACATCTTTGTTCCTTCTATGAACAAAATCTTCAGGCTTGCGTAATATTTTTCTGGATGAAATATTTAATTTTCCTGGATGAAATATTGAGTTAGCCGTTTTTAAAAATCGGCTCAAAACGATCCGTTTAACAACACTACAATTTACAATAAAAGATATAAGTTATATAAAAATAATATATATATATTATTTATTTTAAAAAAAAAGATAAGATAATGTAATGTATTTTAAAAAAATGAACATGAAGAGGTGCATCTACGTTATGGCATGTAGATTGATATACAATGAGACCTACAATTACAAATTTCCATTAAAATTCATTGATATAGGTAAAAACTTTCCTATAGGACCACCCGAAATTAAGCGCCTTTTTGGCCGAGTGCCCTAAAAAAATCCTTTTCTCTGGATCCAAAGCATCGATTGTGTCAGAAACAATGTGGGCTAGAGTAATATTAGGAATGCTAATGTATTATTAATTTTTCCAATTTCAGCTCTAAATAATTAGTGCTAAAGGATGGAATAAACCGATCAACACATGTATCCCAAGCTAGTGGGATTCCCCTGCTCCATAAAATGTCTCATTCTGTGATATTTTCCCCGTGATTAAGACTTATAGGTTCCAAATTTGATGGAATATTAACTGAACGGAGAGTTCTAGCAATAATTAAATTTAATGCTTGTTGGCTTGGATGGCGGCCTTTAGAGAAACGGCAGTGAAAACAGGTGATGACCTAGACTATTGACAGGGAACTGATATAGTTTGCAAGATGATGGTGTGACGATATAGCAGCCTAAACGAGGACCTATTCCTTTCCGAAGTTTTTCGTTGGAATGAAGCAAATCAAGGTTGGAGCCAGGGATGGTCACAAGCCATTCGTAGCCTGTGATGAAATGTTAAATTGATGATGGAGAATTACTACTTTGATTTATTGGGGAGGGGGTCAATACTTTGATTTATTGAAATTCGGAAATAAACTAAAATTTTAGTAAAAAACTAGTAATAACTTTGACATTCTTTTATAAGCATAAAATCATGAGGCTCGGACCAGTTCACATGTATTTTCGAGGCGGTTCAGATTCCGAAATAATATTATTTGACTGTTCAGGTTGGATAAATAACCAGTTACTAGCGGTTTAACGATTCGGTTTGTATCCCTGTAATTGTGTTTCTTTGATAAAGGTTTACCCCTCTAACTATCTTCACACAGCAATGGAAATTAGGTAGAGTGGTCTGATATGGTAAAATTATAAGGCCCGGAAGGAATTCAGATTTTGCCCAGCCTGGCAAAATTTTTCAATAAAATTTGCTGTTTCATTTTTTTACTAAAATTGTCAGGCCAGTCCTGGTTTTTTAAAATCTCCACAATTTTTTTGAATAAGGGGTAACAACTATTTATTTTGGGAGTGGTTAAATTAAAAATACTATATTTTATGGGTTATCAATTCTATCAAATATCTGAATTAATCAATAAGTCTAATGCAATAAAAAATATATCCTATTTCTGCTAATAAAACTTTGAACTTATTTTGAGATTAATACAATAAATAAACCTAATAATTATTATTCATCATTAAAATTGGACAATGGACACCAATAAAAATATATTGTTTTAACAAAATTAGGCTTTAGAATAATTTTTTTATATTATCAAATCTATTATATGGGCCAGGCATCATTTGCCTGATCTGGAAAAAATTTCCCAGATATTACATGGCCCAGCCCAGCTCATGCTGCAGACCACTGATTTGGTAAATAATTTTTCTTTATTTATATAAATTTAATGACTTGAATATTCTTAATTTATATTAATAAGTTGAGTAAATGGCCTGGTCTAGACAAATAAATAAACAAGTTTTATGAAAAAATAATATATTTTTATGATTTAATTAATAAAATCATTCTATAACATAACAATAACATTAAATATAAATATATTTGTAAGAAAATTACAATAATTCTACAAATCTAAATATTTTGCTAATTCAAAAATATATTAACATTGAATTTTCAATTTTATTACGACAAAGTGGGCATAATTTGTTATCTATTCTTTTACAATTAAGTATATCATTTAAACAGTCTTCACAGAGACAAAAATGTTTACATGGTAGTATGACCATATTTCTGATGTTATCCTGACAAACAACACAACATCTTTCATCTTCAATAACATTATTAATGTCTTTTCCTAAATTATTAATTTGAGAGCATTTCAAATTGGCTTTCAAAAAACTCCTTTGATTGGTAACTTTTTTGATTTCATATGGTATTTTAATGTGATTAAATATAGTATTGGCTTTAGTTATAGAGATAATATTGATAATATGGGTGCTCAATGTGGATATAAATTTTATCAATATATAATTTGAAATTAAAAATATAGATATAAATATTTTTTGAATTACTATAATAAGTTTAAAAATTTGCTCAGTGTATAAACTG